ATTGCTCATTTTAGGATAAAGTGGTAAATATATATTTCTGCATATGGGGAGTTCTGAAGATAGATGATCCTTAATGAGATCGAGTGTCTCTCACTCTATTCCTTTATTTTTTTTTTTGCTGTTCCGTAGTATCTATTAATTCTTTTAGCCTTTCCTACACTCCCTCCCTCCCTCTCTATCTCTCTCTCTCTCTCTCTCTCTCGTCTTTTCATTCTCATCGCATTCTAATAATGTCCTTATCTAAGTTTTTTCTTCATATATCAACTAAGCCTCCTTTCGTAATGTCCATTAGATATATTATTAATTGAATTCAATTTTCTCCACTTTCGCCCTCAGCTTCAAGACGTCTAGCAAACGGTTGAAAATGGAAAAGACTCCCCGGTATACGCAGCGGGAGCGTAACATGGTGCTAGGCTATGCGGCCCAGTACAAGGATGTTATTGAGAATAAACGCACAGACGCCGAGTCCAATCGAAAGAAGGACGAGGTCTGGCTGCAGATAGCCAAGGAGTTCAACTCGAAGGTCTATCATCAGCGCAGCGCCAAGCAGCTGCGACAGCTCTACAAGAACATGAAGCTGCTGCTCAAGAAGGATCTGTGCGGCGAGGACAAGGGCAATCGCTCGTTCATGGATCTGCTCAACACGCTCTCACAGCAGGACTCGGTCGCCCAGTATATATCCGAGCAGACGGACGGTGCTGGCAGCCAAACGACCGGAAATGGACGTCACTTGACCGATGACTATGAGGACTCTAAGGTATATAATAATATATACATATACCTATAATGGGGTATTTTATTAACGAACACTATTTAATGAAATCTGAACTTATTGGCTTTAATTTTACCTACTAAGCCACAAAACGGTTATTTTTGCATGTTCCAATGCAGTTTACCAACACTGTTGAGTACTAAACAGCGATCAATCCACTAGAGTAAATGAAGCTTGTTTGCATTTTCCAACACCGTTTTTTTTTTTTTTTTAATGGAAATAATGAAAACTCAGCTTATCTGATAATGTGTGTATATATATTTACGTTTTCCAACACTTCAATTTTGTCGTTTTCTTCTTCTTCCCCGCCAATAGATGCCCATGTACGAGGGCATGGATACGGACGTCATTCTGATCAAATCGGAGAGACTAAGCGACAATGAACAGACCGAGAATGGAATGGACTGCATGGATGATGATGACGACGATGATTGCCCCAGCACCAAGGTGCCGGAGGTGTGTCTCGAGGAGGACGACGACGAGCTGTTCGCCCCGGATCTGCGTCAGCTAAATCAGGGCTGCTTTCCCCGCATCAATGGCAATCACCTGGCCAATGGCAGCAGCAGCAACAACAACAACAACAATAACAATAGCAGCGATCCATTGCCACGCGCGTCCAGCTCACCTGTGTGCTCCACGAAGACCTCCGTCTCATCCACCGGCAGCTATATGTCGCCCGGTCTGCCCAAGGCGGAGATCACGCTCTCCACTGTGGGCAATATACGTGTGGGCGCCTTTGCTAGCATCAGCAAGGCGCTGCACAATGGCTCCAGCAACAGTAACAGCAGCAGTAACAACAACAACAACAACAACAGCAGCATTAGCTGCAACAACAACAACAACGATAATAGCACTAGCAACAACAACAACAACAATAGCAGCAGCAATGGCTTGGAATTGACAGCGGAACAGATTCAACAGCATCTGCTGCTGAACGGCTTGGGCCTGTCCGCCGTACAGCATCCGCCGGCGCATTCATTGCAGGCCGCCATCAATGCCAGCACCAGCGGCGTCGGCAGCGGCCCCAGTACACGTCACACAACACAAAACTTGCAGCTGCCACGCCTGGCGCGCGGTCATACGGCGGGCAATGTGGTGCGCGGCGGGCCGGAGGCAACAACAGTTGCTGCCGCCGCCGCCGCCGCGGCTGCTGCTGCAGCGGCTGCCTCGGTGGGTGTTGTTGGCGGCAGCAACGGCAGCAGCAATGTTGCCGGCGGTGTGCAGCTGCTGCTGAATGGCCATCAGGGCAGCAGGGACAAGGTGCATGCGCAGCAGCCGGGCAGCGGTCTGAGCGTTGCTGCTGGCAGCTTCAATGGCTACAATGGACTGGGCGTGACCAGCATCAATGCGATCAATTGTGCTGCCGCGAACAGCGGCAACAGCAGCAGCAACAACAACAATATGAACACCAGTGTCGCCAGCAGCAGCAGCAACAGCAGTCACAATCACAACAACAACAACAGCATCAGCAGCAACAACAACAACAACATGAACAACAACCTGAACAACAGCAGCGGCGGCAGCTCGCGTGGCCAGCACAACGAGTACATGATGTCGCTGGCCGTGGAGGAGCGCAAGCGCAAAATTGAGCTGCTGAATGCACAGATCGAGTACTGGCAGACGCTGACCAAGAAACTGGACTCGCAGTCCGGCCACTATCCGAATCCGGCGTGCCTCTGCCACTTTCCGGGCAGCGGTGCGATTGGGGCCGGTGCGGCCGCGGGCAGCGCAGCCGCCGCAGCGAGTGGACTGCAAACGCAGTCGAGCAGCAGCTAGTCCGAAGCGGACGGCGGCGGCGGCAGTGATGATGATGATGATGATGATGATGATGGCGACGACGACGACAATGACAACTACAATGATGATGTTGGCAATGCCGCTGCCACTGCCTCTGCCTCTGCCGCCGCTGCCGCCGCCGCCGCTGCTGCTGTGGATGTTGGTGACGATTCGCATGACATTGGGCTGATGCACAGCGATCTGGATGATGAATCGGCTGATGTGGCCGCAACACTCAACAATCGCAGCAGAAGCAGATGCAGTCACAGCAACGGCAGCGACGTCATCTCCATTGTGGACATTGAAGATGAGGAGGACGATGACGGTAATGATGATGCTAATGATGCGGATGATGATGATGATGATGATGTGGTGGAATTGCGTGTGGAATTGCAGCAGGAGAAGGTCGACATTACAGACCTAACGCTGCACGATGTGGAGGAGTATGACTCACAGGATGCCTTGGTCAAGGACGTCGGCATTGTGGGCGGCGTGTCGCCTGCATCGTCGCCGCTGCCTCAGCCTCAGCCTCAGCCGTCGTCGTCGTCGTTGTCGTTGTCGTCGTCGCAGCCGCCAGCGAAGCGGTTCAAACGTCACATTGCAGTGCTGCCGCCAGCAGCTGCCTCAGCGTTGCTGCTGCAACTGGCACAACAGCAACAACAACAACAGCAACAGCAGCAACAGTCGCCGCCCGCGTGAGAGCTATTAGCTAGTCTAGTTACTTGTTCTTAATTTGTCTAGTTTAGGTCGTCCCTCGCCCCGATTCGTCTCTAATTCATTTGCCATTTTTATGCTAACAGCCAAAATTACCAACTAATATACAGTTTATCCTTATAATAATTGTCATTATCATTACAGTCATTATCGCTATTATTATGCTTACATTGTACAACTATTTATTTATGCCTAGTTTTGTGTGCCAAAACAAGAGAAAATGGAATCGTGCGAACGACTGAGTGCATGACCGTTAACTACTTTTTTTTTTAAATATTATTATTATTATTATTATTATTCATAGTTTCATCTACTAGTTATCCGTAAACCAAATTTTATTTGCCATTTAACGCAATGCTTGCCAAATTTTAATTTTAAGCATTAATTTATTGCTTAAACCAAGCCGACCCCGCCTACTATTATTTATTATTTATATGATTTGTTAAACAATCAACTTTTTTTTCGTCATCTTGTAACATATATAAAAGCTTAATATATATATATATATATATATATATATATATACATACATTTATATATATATTTATGAAAAGCAAATCTATTTAGCTGAGATCTAATATTTAAGTTATTTTTTGTAGCTGCAAACCAAAAGAAAATGCAACGAAAGGCCCAAAAAAGGAAAAGAGAAAAAGAAAATAACAATTTCAAAAGAAATCAATTTTCATTGTCACTGTAAATTTTACCTTAAAAATTACATAACAATTTTTGTCATGTAAAAAAAGAGAAAAGAAAAACATACAAACAAATTATGAAAACTGTACAAATGTGGTTCCTAATCTAGTCCTTAAAAAAAAGAAAGAAAAAAATCAAAACAAAAAAAAACAAAAAATACAAAAATTAAGAAACCGTTTGAAAAAGAAAAAAAATTTAATTGTTATGCATGTAGCGCAACTTGTGGAAATTTTTTTGTTTTTTTTTATAATGTATTTTTTTTGTAATATTTAAATGCAAAGCCCCCAAACCCAAAAACCATCCAAAGAACTGTAGCTAATTTTAATGTACTTAACAAAGCCGAGGCACCGAAAACAAATCTCTAAAAAGAGAGAGAGAAAAAACTAAATTATATTTAGTTAGTTTTTGGATAGCAACTTGCTAGTCGCCGCTGCATAACTGTATTCTTTAGTCTAGCATACACAAACAAAATATTAAAAATAATAAAAAAAAAAAAACAATTACATATTGTATGAAATATGTGTAAAAATATTGCCTAAATGTAACCACAATTTACAAAAAAAAAACACACACACACACAAAAACATTTATACAATTTTTGTAAAGAAAACAAATGAATAAAAAAAAAACCAGTGAATTTATTTGGTGGCCTAGTTAAATGTTAAAGTTTCTTAAATAAACGGATAAGTTGTAAAACAATGCTTGGGCGGCCTTTTCAAATTTAAATTTGGGCGGGTAAATTCTGGCGAAGGGTGGCAGCTCGATGTATGGCATTGCCAGACCACGGCAAGCGCTCAAAGTGAACATAGAGATGAGCAAATGTATTGAGACAATAAACATGATATGTACATGTAAAAGCTATGGCACTATAATTAATTATTTAGATACTCAATAATTTTATTTAGTTTATAACTAAATAAGAGTATTAATTGCATTTCAAAAATCAGTTGATGGCTCTCTGTTTGAATATTTAAGCACAGCTGTTGCCCTACTGCTATTGCGCTCGTGAGTCGTGACGAGTATCGGTTGAGCAGTTACCTGCGCATCTCTAGGCGTGCAAATGTGCGTAAATTGTTTTGCCTACACTTCATTCAAAGAAAATGCCCGCATTTGCCGTACACAATCTAGATGAAATCAAATTCATAAATTAGAAATAATTGGCCAAGTCAGTGGAGCACAACGCTCATCTCTATGCGGGAGCAGAAGCAACGCTGCGCGCATGTGTAGAGCGAGAGCGAATAACGCTCGCTTTGCATAGATAGCTCTCGGCGGCCAGCTGCGAACGCTCCATTCGGAAGGGAAGTGTGTGGGGCGCAGAATTTGCAAGTTTTTATTTATTACTCATCCAGCGAGTATGCAGTCATCGAAAGACTCGTGAAAACCAGGTCCAGTTGCAGGTCCAAGTTCGAGCTCGTTGCATATGCGCATATTTTGTTGTAGCATATGTGCAATTTGTTTGTTGTGGGCGACCGAGCAGAGCGATAAAGTGAATGCGAATTCGATACACACCAAGCCAAACCAAACCAAGCCAAATCAAGCCAACTGCGTGCGAGTGTGTGTGCGTGCCATTGTGTTTGTGAGTGCGTGAGTGTTTATTTAGAGCTGAAGTGAAGCCCCAGCTCCCCATCGATAGATAGATAGCAAAGCGCCAGCTGCTGTGCGTAGCTGAATTCCCACACAGTTGAACGACGCTCGATGCCCGGCTTCCATCTCAATGAAATGGGGGAAATGGTCTTGGACGCCATCGATGACATCGGCGTGGTCGATGTCTACGATCTGGCATCGGATATTGGCAAGGAGTATGAGCGCATCATGGATCGCTATGGCACCGATGCGGTAAGTGGTCTGATGCCCAAGATAATTAACACGCTGGAGCTGCTCGAGGCATTGGCGACGAAAAACGAGCGCGAGAACACCACCATACAAGAGCTCCGCGAGAAAATAGCCCAGCTGGAGAGCGAGAAACTGGAGAAGGCCGAGTTTCGGCGGCGCTTCGAAAAGGAACTGGAGCTGATTGAGGAGCAGTGGCGCACCGAGACGAATGAGCTGGTCGAGCTGGTCTCCTCGCTGCAGGACGAGAACAAGCGGCTGGTGAAACAGACGCAGGACCTGCAATCGGCATCGGCCCAAAGCTCCGGCCTGGGCGCCAGCCTCACCGAGAGCATCATCAGCATGACCAACAACGAGCTGCACAGCGCCCTCTCCGACACGCAGGTGCTGCAGCGGCTCAAGGAGCAGATATACAAGCAACGGGACGAGCTGAAGCAGCGCGAGCGCGAACTCCAGGACAAGTACAGCGAGCTGGAACATGTGAGTAGCAGCAGCAGTTGACTTAGCCCGATTGGCCTATTGATTGACGTGATTGCTATCCCACACACACACACACACACGCACACACAGGTCAACATTCAGGCGGAGCGCTTGAAGGCGTCGGAGCGGGACACGCGACGCCGGCACAAGCTGATGCAGGCACAGGTGAAGACGCTGTGCGAGGAGCGTGCCGATTTTCTCGCCCAACTGCAGGATCAGTGCCGTGAGATCAATCAGCTGCGCAAGCGCCTGGGTCTGGCCGAAAAGGAGAACGAGGATTTGGTGCAGTCGTACGATGATGACCAAAACGATCCAAACCGGCCGCGCTACACAACACGAGAGCTCAAGGAGCTGATCAGCGAACGGGACGAGCTACTCACAACCATTGACAACCTCAACGAGCAGCTGGCCGAGCTGAAGCCAGCGAACAGCGGCAAGCGGACTCGCCAAATATCCAGCTCCGATGACAGCGACGACGATGACGACAACGAGGCCGACGATGGCGTTGAGGCCGATGTCGAGGATGAGAATGTGGCCGGCGAGACGTGCGTCTAACTAAGCAACAAATTTAAACACATCTATTTATCTATCTAATATGTTTTGTTTGTTCTCGTCACTGGCAGGCCTCCGGGACACGATGCGCCCGTACAGGGACCCTTGCCCTATGAGCCAGACGATGCCCCCTGGAAGAAAAGCTCCGAGTCGGGCATACGCAAATTGTGAGTGTGCATAGAATAGGTTTTCGTTATGAATGTGAATCCATTTTGATTCACTTGCCTTGCAGCTTTCGTAAATTGTTCTCGGATCCATCGGATGGCAGCAATACATTCCCGAAACGTTCCTTGGCCACGCTCTCGAAAATGGCCCTATCCGCTACGCCCGGCGAGCTGAAGTAAATGCCTTTTAGCCTTAGAGCCAAGTGCATTCCGTAAAAAAAAACAAAAAAAACTGGCAAAAAAACAACTAAAAAACAATTAACACATATATTTTACATTCCTGTGGTTTGATTTTGTTTATGTATGATTTTTTTTCGTTTCTTTTTTTGTTTATTTATTTTTAGTCCCTGTCTGTCCTTTGCTATTATGTTTTATATGCTCGCTAAGTATTTACCAATTTCTTTTATGATGTACATAATTTATATAATTGATTGCTGTGCTCTCATAATCATAAGTTGTTATTTCTGTTTTACGTGATTGTTTAATCTGTAATTATCTCACACTTATATATATGTGTGTATATATATATATATTTATATTCGTACAGTATATTATTTATTACTGACTCTAATATGCCACAATTTGGATAATGCTTTATCTACTACTTACATACATAGTTTAGTATGGATTTGTACTAGCGCCCCTTTTGCAGCTCCCCATTTGAAATGTATACTACTAACTAATCTAATATAATCTATGACCAAATGCAAGGAACTATTCTAGGCTTGACTAGCAGGCATAACGGGAAACGGATTCCTTTCGAAGCCGAACCGCATATACATATATACATACACACATACTTATAAAATATGATATATGGCATATATATGTATATATACATACATATATATACACATTTTACATTATACAGTATATTAAACTAACCATTTAGACATACATTATACATACCCTATACATATGCAATGTTCCAAAGAACAAAATGTATGCGCAAGTTTTTGAGGCCAGTGGAGTGAGTTTTGAATGAATTTAACCAATTTAGAAACAAAATTAGAATGCATATACATATACATATAAACCAGAGAATATATCAAGTACTTTGTAGAAGAGTTTTTAAAACAGTTCAAATCCCAAAAATAATATTTCAAAACCTAACAAATTAGTCAACAAACATAAGAGTTGTGTTAACAACAAAACAAACACTAACTATAACTAATACAATATATATATATATATATATATATATATATATATATATATATATATATAT